ACAGCAAATCAAGTTACTTGAATTATGGAAATGGAAGAATTTTGTAATATTGTTATTAACTCAATTTGCCATCCTTCATCAAATTAACAACTTCTAATGTTGGAGGATTAACTTTTAGTATTGAAGAATTAACACATTAACAGCTGTTGCGCCCCATTTTTCGCAATGGCGAAATAAAATAAAGGTGGTTTATAAAAGATGTGATTTTACTTAAAAATAAGTGAAAAAAAAGGACCGAAGATGGGACTTAAAAAATGCGACAATTTGGGTCCAAAAATTTGGTCTAAAAAGGGTTTTCAAGAAAAAGAGGAATCGCCACTTGGTATTGAGTTTGGGTGTACCAAATCACCCCAAAATATATATATATATATATATATATTTATAGAAGTAAAATAAAATAAAACCCTTTTTGACAACTCCAGATTTTTTAAAAACAAGAGAAAATGGGTTCGGGAATCACGGTTGATAAAAGGGAAGGCAAAGACGGAGTCTAAGGCACCCTTTTACCCTAGCCTAAGCTAGTTGCGAGGTTTAGTCAAAATTTGCCTAATCTAACCCTTAATTTTATCTTATTTGGATGTTTTCTACATGGATGCAAATCTATAAAATATCGAAAGGATCAAAATATCCATTCAAGGGTTTAATCGAACCAATCGCATTAATTGCGAAGGCCAAAATGATTCCTTGAAAGTGTCACGAGTATGCGAATGATTTAAAATGAAAGAAAATAAATTAAATTATATACATATATATAAGTGATCAAAGAAAAAGGGAATGCAACATAAAGGGTACGGAAAGTAAAAACTCATGACATAATTTTCTTATACATTGATTAATAGGGTATTTAAACTAAAAAGTTATAATCACCCATTTCCCATGTTTGAAAAATAATTATCCTAACATGAACAAACAAATGAACTAGCTTAAATGAGATGCAATTCTAAATGACATGATTGGCACCTATAGCGGGTAGGGGATAATATAATAGGGAATATCATACAAATGAGAAAAGATCCTAAAAATGAAAATATGCATGAGAATGTAGTGAATAGCACACAAAGATGAATCTAGCGCAAGACGACCTAAAGAGTCTAGCGTTGGATTAGCCTATTTCTAAAAATCCTTACTAGCATTGGACTAGCAAATAAGCGGAGGGAGAAGCCACAACTAACGTTGGACTAGTGTGGTGACGTCATGCATTAACAATTCATAGTGAAACAAATAAAGTATAAATTAAAACAAATAAACACATAAGAGCACGTAGCACATAACACGTAAACATAATATCTAGATACTAAAATCCTAAGAAAAGCGGATAAAACACATAACACATAAGCCACATAAACACGCAACCTATCTATTACATCGGGAAATCTAACTACAATCTAAAATGGGAAAGATATGATAAAATAAAATTAGTTATCATATCTATTACATTTTTGAGGTATTTAAATGTCTCTCGGATAATTATAAAAATTAACTAAGCAAATATAGTATAAGAAAATTTAAATGAACATTTAAATCCAATAAATAAAGCATATAAAAATATATAAACACATAGGAACACATAGGAGCACATAAGAACACGTAATTGACATTGAAATAATAAAAATAGGAGTACCTCCTATTTGAAGTGGTGACTAAATGGAGTCAAATTGTCCTATTTATACTCACAATGAACAAAAGAATCATGGCACCAATTTAATTGAAAAATAATAATAATAATAATAATAATAATAATAATAATAATAAAAGTACTAAATTCACACTAATATGTCAAACGTAAAGAAATTTAAGAAAATCTAAAAATTACAAGTTAAGTATATTCAAAAGTAGCATAATTAGCTATTAAAGAAAAGCAACAATCATAATAAAGAGAGTCAAAATTCATCAGGGACTGAATTGCAAAAAAAATTGAAAAACTTTTAGGGACAAAAATTATATTTTTCCAAAGTTTAGGGGTCAAAATTAAATGAAAGATAGAATTTAGGGACCAAGGTGAAATTAATTAAGGATCTAATTGAGAGAAATTAAAAGTTTTAGGGCCACAGTAAAACTACTCCAAAGATCAAGGGCTAAAGTGAAAATTCGCTAGCAGATCTTAAGAAAACAGGCCACTGGGCCATTCTCTATTTTTTTCGGGCCAAAGGCCATCCGGCCCAAACGAAAATTCAAGCCAAAATACACAGGCCAGCCCGTCATCTATCACTCAAACCCAACCAAAAATAAAGCATGGGTCTGACCTTCTAACCCAATCGAAAATAAGAACAAGCCCACTAAAAAAATAAAATTAGCCCAAACCACTTTCCTTTTTCTTTTCTTTCCTTTCCTTTCTTTTCTTTTTCTCTTTTCTTTCTTTCTTCTTCCTCCACTTCCAGCCGTTTCCTTCCCATCTTCTTCGGCCAGCTGAAGCTTCCAGCCATGGCGGCCGCCGCCGGCGCCACTGCCGATCGCCGGCGACCTCTCCGATCACCAAAATTTCTCAAAATACACTACTACACTCCATTTTTCTCGTAGATTCCATTTTCGGAGTTAGTTTTTACAAAAGATGATCCGAAAGTGGCTAAAATGTCAACATGCAGTCCAGATTTTATTTTTTTTAAACACCCAAATTTTCACCAAAAAATATATAATTTATACTACAACACTCCTTGTGATTTTTACAACCTAACTATCAACTAAAATCAATAAAAGTAACAACAGATATGACAAAATTAAACCAAAACAGTCCTAAAAATAACAAAAATCCTTCAAAACTTTTAACACTCAAAACTCCAAAAATTTTTTGAATAACCACACATTTTTAGACCTACACTAGCAAACGGTCACCTATTTGACAAGAAAAACATGTACAATGTTAAGCTTTTTAATTCATTTGTCATTTTGGCATTTTTTCAAACGGTTAATATGCATGCATGAGAAACATTTCCTTTTCCTTCATCTAGTTCATGCCATTTCCCAAATTTCAGCAATGCAACAACAACAATAAAAACCAGCGAACAAGAGAAATTAATATACAACCACAACAATAACAAATAAAAAAAACAGCAAAAGCAAGAGAAATTAGACATTGAAACATGAATTGTAATATGATAGAAAGAAAACGAGAAAATACCTCAATGTAGGTGGTAGTTCCTTGACCAAAATGTTTGATACAATTTCCACACCTTGAGCGTATCTCCCTGGCTCCTAAAGTTTCTTTCGTCTAGCCTTTTCTGTCCGTTGAGGGCTTAAGAAAAGCCAAAATGGGAGAGCTTTGTTCTTGTGTGTTTTCTAGTGTGAGTCAAAGAAAGGGCCGAGAGATGTATATTGAGAGGGAGGAAGAGTAGAGTGTTTTGTGTGTGGTCTATTGAGAGAGAGCCGAGAGCCCAGAGTTGTCTGGGAGCTAGAGTACTTCTTTTTTCTTGTTCTGGCTTGTCTTATGTCCTCTGGGAGAGAGCCGAGAGAGAGATTTTTGTAGCCAAAAGTAGAGCTTTTGTGTAGGATTTTCTCCTCTGGAAAATGTTGAGTGTTGACAGAGCTAAAAACTCATGGCCAAGAGGGAGTCAAACGGGTTTGGTTTCATTCAAAATGATGGCTTCTGCCAAATGAAAAGAAAAGTCCATGGCCATTGAGTGTGAAATGGGTTAATAGTTAATTTGGTGAAATAAAATGATTAAAATGATTTTTTGATTTTTTTTTTAGTTTTCTTTCTTTTTTTTTTAGTTTTTGTTGTTTTTTTTTTCCTAAAGCAAGCCTACAACAGTGAGAAAAATGCACATTAAAATGCAAGAAAATAAATAACTCATTAAATAGAAAATCTTGAGAAAATATTAAAAATTGACAAAATTTGGTGTTTATAATAGCACTTGAGATTTTTAAGCTATGAGGCTACATAATTTTAAACAATCATTTCCTTTTCCATCTAAGAATAGCCTCTCTCCATTAACTTTTTTCCCTCACAACTTCAGCAAATTCAGTCTTAGAGTCCATAACAATGAAAGAATGTTGGTCTAATTTGTCTATATGCAAATTATTCACCTTTGTAGTCAGTATATCAGCGCACTACAACAAAAAAGGCCTTTCCTGACACGCCTATAAGGACACTTGCTGGTTTTTGTCATTATAGCACTTCTATCATAACACTTGTTATCAATTCAATAATATATACTTTAATTTTTTTTATTTTATCTAATATAAAAATAATAATATGTCTTTAGATTCCCTATCATGACACTTGAGAAAATGTGAGATACACCAAAAAAATTAAAACATAAAACGATATCGTTTGATTTTGGCGGAAGATTCCTTTGCCAAAACACTTAGTGAAATCTCAAAACTTTCATTTTGCCGGCCAGCGAAATTTTGGTTCTTCTCATCTCTCTCACAAACTCTCTTTCTCAGCAAACTATCTCTCAAAACTCCCCCATTTTGGTTCTTCCGTCTTCCACCTTCGCCGCCACCCCACTCTCCCATTTTCAGTTGCTAACTCGGCCGCTTCTCTACCCTCCTCGTCAACAATGACACCTACACCAATAAGCCTTCGCTTTCTTTGCTAGGACAAAAAGAATAAGAAAACAAATACTCGGGCTCTTTCCTTTTTCTTCTTTCCTCTGAAACCCATCCTCATGCTTCTCCTTACTGACTAGATATTCGGGTTGAGCATGCCGAGGAGTAGAGTAGGCGAAGGTTGCTACCATCATCTCACTGGAGTCCAGCCACCACAGCGGAAATCATCACTGTAAAGTTTCCCGCACTCTTATACCTTTTTCCCCCTTAATTGTATTGTTTTCTTCTTTGTCTGCAATCATGTCGGTTATGCTTTACTTTCGTCTTGTTAATCGATTTTAAGTGACTGGAATTGATCATAGGTTTGAGTAGAGTTTTAGATTTAAAATTCAAGCTCAAGCCGTCTAAGGAATTGATGAAAAAGAAATTTCAAAACTTTTCATGCTCACTACCTGTTTGTCGAAAGATTCGAATGAAGAAAGAAGGAAATTTGCAAGGAAGCGAATAGAGAGATGAGAGTGAATAATTATTGCTATGATATGACTACTGTGAATCTCATTCTATCTTTTATTAATTCACTCCAATTTGTGCTGACAGAGAAATTTTGTGTGTTTATACATGAGAATCATACCCATGCCATGCTTGCTGAGGAAATCAAGGAGAAAACCACAGAACTGAGGTTACAATATTCTGCCATGAGATATCTTATAGATGATGGTTCATTATTTTGTGATACTTATGATGCCATCCCATGTGTAACAGACATCTCAAAGGTGAAGTGCTAGTAGGACTGAGCATGGAAGACTTGGTTAAACTCGAAAAATTGGTTGAAGCAGGGTTAAGTCGTATTGCCAAAACCAAGGTTCCTGTCATGTTATGTCATCTTTCAAGGTCTTTCAATTGTTGCATAGTGTTGACGTACTATGTTTTTTGGATTTCAGGGGTGACAAATTCATGAAAGAAATTGGTATTCTCAAGAAAAAGGCTAGTGACAAATTACCCTTATTAGTTGTTTCTATTTGGTTATCTATCAATCATTTTCTGTTATTCTGTATTTCATCACATAATAAAATGGGAAATCTTCAATTTGAGAATCTGGAGATAAAAAAGTGTTATTGGGCTTTCATAAAATTGAAGATCGTTTGTAACCCACAATAATGCTATAGGAGCAATTTACTTAAAGATTCCAATGGAATATCATTTGGCTGACTGCATTTAAATGTGTGTTCTTGGTTGGTAACTTATCTTCACAAAATGAATTGCAGGAAGCATTATTAAAGGAAGAGAATGCGAAGTTGAGACAGAAAGTGCATGACGTGACAGTTTCCCTTTTCCTTTATTTCTTTGTTTCGCCCCTCTGCATGAGCATGCTACAATCTTTTGCCTTTCTGACTGATAATTGCAGGTAGCAGGCTCATCGGAAGAGCAAACACCTCTGCTGTAGTGAGGGCTTTCATCTGAATCAGTCACCCGCTTAAGCGACCAAGCTGGAAGTTGTCCTCAGGACCTCAACGATTCAGACACATTTCTCCAGCTGGGGTATGTTTGTTTTAAGTCAAACATGGATCGGATAATTTGTTACAAGAATAAAATGAATTACATATGTGGAATATATCCAACATTTGGATCTTATATCTGGACGACATGCTGCATATCAGTTGAATGGGGGGCATCTCATTCTGTTTGGTTTTGTCACAATAGATGGCTTGTATTTAAACAAGAAGAACAAAATGAAACTAAAGTAAGGTTTCATTTTCGGAATGCATGATTCAAGGCCATGTGATCGTCTGGCAATGACGTGAAAAGAAAAGTGAACAGTTAGTAAGCTATCGCAAGGCAGTCTTTAATGCTCTTGGATTGAAGTTTTTCTTCAGTAGCATGGCAACTGCTAGCTATGTAGAGAGATTAGAGTCAGACAAATTCGAATGCACAAATTATTGTAGGTGGAAAAAAGGGGAGGTTGGAGAATTGTTGTTTGTTGTGCATTAATGATACGTTGTATGAATAGGTGTTTCCGGTTGCATAAAACAGAGTTAGCATGCATGTAAGTATCTTGGCAATCATTTGATAGAGAAACCTGTTTAACTTGGGGTTGAATTTTTGCAGCTTACCATGCCCCAACTGAATTGTAGAGAGGATGAGATTGCAGTTGCAGAAGATCGAATATATAATTTGAGCATAACTGGCTCTATGATACCCAGAAATTGTGGTTTATGCTGCATTATTTTTTAGTTTGTGCACAAGAATTTTTCAAGTTTGTACACATGAGAATCTTTTAGTTTGTGCACAAGAGAATCTTTCAAGTTTGTACTTGTTAGAGATTTGCTATATTAGTACTTGTTACTGACTTTTAGTTCAACAAATTATATTTGAGCATTGACTTTTGCTTTTAGATTACTATATGCATTCTGTTCTTTGGGATAATTTTACAAGTCCTTTGGGTTTCTGATTGACGGAATGTATAGCAGGGAGCACTACCTGCAGGTTGCTTCTATGTCAAAAAAAAAAAAAAAAAAAGAACTCCTGGCAGTTAAAAGTGTTAGCATAGCTCAGTTAAAAAAACTCCTACTTGTTATTGACTATAGCTATCTTGACATTTTCGATTATCAAGAAAAGGGATTTTTGTTGGCAGATGAGATGCTATAACAACATAGTTTTCCTGACACATTTGAATGCTCCGAGCCTATCCCCACATTGGAAGGGACAACACTCGTCCAGGGTGTGAGGAAAGGTAAAGTGTCAGGTTAGATTCTCTATACCGTTAAAGGTCATTTTTGTTGTAGAACATTATTTGATTGAAACTATAAGGTGCATAACTGATTATTATATTGCTCATTCATTGTTCCATGAGCCAGGTCATTGTCTTATATTTTATAGCTCATTTTTCCACCTTTTATCAGGCTAAACTTAAAGGTCTACATTAAACGATGTGTTCAGAACATTAAAATCAAAACCAATAAGTAAAAGCTAAAGTATCTAATTATATAAAAAAAACTATCTAAAATGTTAGGACTTTGAAATATCTTTACATGACAAAAGTATTCAATGCATACAAACTATAAAATTTCTTAACAGAAATCAAAATATGTCGCATTAAACACATGCTACGTTTAGGCAAGAACTCTTGACATAACAAAGAAAGAAAACATAAGAATCACAAAAAGCAATAATCTTTACTTTATTTAAATTTGCAATAATCTTCTAAGAGGTATAGAAATTTCTCAAAGCACACCCTATGATTTCATCAAAGGTAAAAATGACAAACCAAAGTTAACTAACAACTAATGGCTTCCCATAGATAGATCTAGGATTCTCATTTGTTTTGTCATTCCACTTGTCAAATATCAAATAAATATCTATAATTTTTCATATTCAACAGTTCAAGTATATAAAATGTCACCCTGATATTCAATAGGATTTGAAGTTTTGAATGGTTCCAAGGTCTCTCATGGACTTCTATATCAGCTACAAATGTGAAGTTAATAGTCGTTAAAATGCTTTCTTCACACATTAATTTGGACAAAAATTTCTCAAATGATCATTAGAAAAAAAAACAATACTTACACATGATGCATTCATGTTTGAACTTCTCATACTTTACAACTATTAAGTCCCACCAGTTTACGAAATCTGAAATGTTATAGTAGATTCTCCAAACATTTAGAAATTGAGAAGTTGTTCCTGGACTATAAGTTTACAAATCAATTTCATTAGTTATTAAAAGGTTAGGATTTGTTAGAAATGAGGCAATTGCATTGAGGTAGTTACCCTGCCAAGATACAATCTAGTTACTATTAACTTTAAACTGAAATACATTATATGTATCATCACAGTCTGAACCCAAATGAAGTCAAATTTTGTGATGTCAATCTGCTGCAAGACCCCAAAAACAAATTTTGATTAATGAAATTTACATCTCGTGCAAAATTCTTACAATTAAGAGAAAAAAAAAACAAAAAGAAAAAAAATGAATGTAAAAAAAAATGTAAATATGCAATCATAGGAAAACAAAAGTATAAAGGATAACTTACCAAACCACATAACCAACACCAATTTTGAAGCAGAAGGAAGAGTTAGTTATGAGAAAAGAAGTGCCAAAAGTTAGAAAAATATTTAACTTTCCCACTGCAATAACAATAAACTAATATCTTACAAATATGGGAAAAAATGAAGACTCGTTTAGATGATCCAACAAACAACATATTAAAAACTTACTATCACAGTTTAGGAAAAAGACCTTATTTTGTGTTTCTTACTGGTTACTAATGTTAATAAAAGCTAAAACTTTCCAATAGAAAACATGGGGCCTCTAATTTAATCAGTCAGCAACACAATATTTCAAAACTATAAATACATTTAAAAAAAAGGGCAAATCAAAAGCATAAATCTTAAATTTGACCTTGAGTTTTTTATACTTGCAAGAACAACACACCAATAGCCTACAGCAGAGGATTTAAATGAAAATTTCCATTTTGTAATTAGAGCCAAAAAAAAAGTAAAATTCAGTGCAGATAAAGGGAAAAGAGTTCAGTATTGAAATAAATTAATAAAGCAATATAAATGAGCAAGAGAGAAAAGGCAATTTGGTGTTTTGTACCAGGTAAAAGATGAAAAGAGCATAGGGAAAAGAAGAAACCATATCACATGGGGAGAATGAAGCAATAAAAGCAAAACACCGATGGTCTTTTCTTATCCTTCTTAAACCAAAAAAATGATCATGATTACTTGGAAAAAGGCTCAAAGGAAGTATCAAATCTATCAATGATCTCTAGGTTGATCAATGGTTTAAGATTGATCAGGTATAATGAAGATTAGAAAAAGTTGGTGCTTTCTCTAAAAAATTTAGTTGGCATTTAGTTGAAGCACATGAAAAGGAGGTTTCCAATCAATCTATTCAGCCATTCCCAATATGTAATCAAAAGTAAAATTTGAATACCCATAATCTAAGGTTGAAAATTGAGATTAGTTTATAAATCCTAATCTAAGGGCTATTCATTTACCAGCACACATAGAAAAACTTTGGGGTGTGCTCATTTATATCTTCACCATCAGTGAATTCAAAATCCCACGAATTGGAGCAGCCTTCTTGTGACGCCCCCACTTCTCCCTAAGGCGAACCAAAGGGTATCCGCGGGACGCCTGCCTAACTCTCGCCAGGACTCAAGCAATTCCATTTAAACTTATTGCCGGACCACACCATACGAGTCAATAACTTAGATACAATAAATGCGGAAGTGTTCCAGTTTAATAAAAGTCATCCGATATCCAACCCGCACATCGGGTGTTCAACAACCATCATATATCCCAAATATACATCATGCTCCAAAAGTTACATTCGGATTCCAAAATACAACCCAAAAGCCAAGACAAAGTCAAAAGTAATAGAAACCCTAAACAAAAGCGTAGCAGGAAGGTTTCTTCGATACCTCACCAAGTTCAATCCTGTTAAGGAAAACAAATCTACAGGGTGAGCAAAAACGCTCGTGAGGCCAAGAACACACATACAAGCACATTGCTCAAATAACAATTTCAATTTACAAGTCAAGCAATCATATTTTAGTAATTAACAATTTACTGGAAATATAACCAGAAACAATTCAAGGATACTGGAGCCCTCAGGAGCTATATTCCACTTGCACATTCAATAACCTCCACGAATTGACACTCCGTCAATCGGGTAGGTTTAGTCCGTAGAACTCCACTTAACCTGTCCCCTTTCACCTTACATACCCCCGTATCGAGCCCGCCTGTCATTTGTTTGTGGCGATACTACTCGAGTATGCCAAGCAAGATCTCTCACTAGGTCAAGCTTATATATCTTATGGCTCGCCAAGGCTCCTGACCAAGCCCATGCCGGCTCGAGTCCAAGGTCGGTCAATGAGATTTGGGCGTCCTCATGTGCACTTGTGTGTCGAGGAGATTCACTTCAACGACGTAGGCAACTATAGCATACCATTACATTTCATTCATTCATTCAATACATTTCAATCATTCATTCAATGCATTTCAATCATTCATTCAATACATTTCAACCATTAATATTTCATTTCTAATGAGAACGAATGTGGTAAAGTACACACTCGACTCCACTTTCAAGATTTCCAATCATTAATAACAATTAAACATGTAACAAGTTTACATACACCTGACACTCATCAAGTATTAGGTGTAAGTAAGGTCAAGGAAAGTTCAAGCGTCCACCGTGGGATCCTCTTGAAGGTCCTCGTGTGCGCCTGAGCAAATAATAGTGAATTATCATCCAAATCCCAAATATCGAGGAATAATTCGTTCACTAGTATTAATCTAGGGGATTCCGTGAAAATGAACCTCAATTACTCGTAAATCGAGGTTCGAGAGGGGTTTGATAACATTCAAAAGTATTTAAGTCTTTATCTAGGAAATCGGGGATAAAACGTTTAGATAATATCAAAAGAATAAAGAGTTCTTGAAAAACTCTATTTCCTTGAAAGTTGGAAAATTTCAGTTTTGTTATGAATCTTTGAAAAATCGTAACTCACTCGGCATAAGTCGAGAATTGAAAAACTTTATACCGTTGGAAACCTCTTAGAAAGTACTACACGTTCCTAGAAGACACTTTTCCATGAATCGAAGTGGAAAGTGCTCAAAAATGAGCTTAGAGTTGCTGTTCCAAATCACCCAGGATTGAGCCGGGGTTGGTTTTTCGC